GATCCGCGGCGTCGCCGACACGCTGATCGCCCTGCTGGAGCGCGGCGACACCCTGGGCGCCGCACGCGGCTTCTGCGCCTACTGGAACGGCTGCGACAACTGGCCCGACCTGGACGACACCCAACGCCAGCGCCTGGCCGACGCCATGCCGTCGGTGCGCCGCCATTTCGAATCGCTGTTCACCGCGCAATGGAGCGACAGCCTGCTCGGCCTGCTGCGCATGCCCGTGCACCTGATCTGCGGCGCGGCCACGCGCGTCAGCGCGAAGCGCGTGGCGCAGAGCCTGGCAGCGCGGCTACCCGCGGCGAAGCTCACATGGCTGGAAGGCGCAGGGCACATGGCGCCGATGACGGACGCGGCGCGGGTGAATGCGTTGGTGCTGGACAGCCTGGGGGCGGCGGTGAAGATGCCGGTGGCCTGAGCCTAGTCAAGCGACGGGTCCAGCAGGCTGCGCCCCGGCCTCCCGCGACGCGCCTGTATCGCCAGCGCAGCCTCATCGACGCCGACTTTGCGCATCTCGTCCTGTGCGCTCTCCCATTCGCTGCGGCCCACGAACTCATCCATGAGCTGCCGTTGCTCAGCAAGGAACTGGCAGGGTGCTGCCACCGGCTCGGCGTTGGGCACCAGCCGTTGCCACCAGCGGTCCAGACCATTCGATTGCCAGGCGCCGAAAGCCTCGAACGACTGCGCCCGGGATTCCCATGCCGTTCGCAGTGCGGGTCGAGCCGGCAGCGTCGCTCGCATCAGCTTGATGGCGTCGCTGCGCTCCAGGCCATCACCGTCGCGCCAAAGCAGTTCAGCCAGCGCCGCGCAACGGTCGGCCACGCCGGGTTCGCCCAGACGCGCACGGCAGAACGCGATCAGTGGATGGAAGCCCTGCAAGCCGCCCCATTGCACACGCAGCGTCATGAAGGCCTCGACTTCCGCTGCACTCTGCAGGCCGGGCGCATCGCTCTGCACCACGCTCTTAAGGATCTCCAAGGCCTCGCGCTCGTAGCTGCGTGAATAGCGAGCGGCGGCGTTGATGCGCTCCAACACGTAGCCCTGCTGCGTGCGCTGCGCGCCACCGGGCGGGCTCAGCAGCGTCGCCCAGGCCTGGACGTTGGCAGGTTCCAGCCGAGACCACTGCGACGCCTCGACGTTCTGGCATTTGCGGGGGCTGCAGGGTCGCAACATCGCTAATTCCGTCAACATCGGATCACTGCTGCTGCGGGCACGAGCCTGCAGGCGAACGCGAGACGCCTCGTCGCGGATCAGGAAGTCGGCCAAGGCCTGCGCGCGCGGGTCGCTCCGCTTCATCAGCTCAGTTACCCAGCGCTGATGGGCCTGGCCGATGGCTTCGCGCATCAGTTCTTCGTTCACCCCGTCTGCCAGCACCTCCGAAGCCTCCCCAGCCACCGTGCCGCTGACTGCCTTCCGTGTCGGGTCGAGTCGCCGCAGCTCGGCTGCCGCGCCCACATGGCACCAATCAGCCTTCATGCGCTGCTTCAGGGCTGCGCGGGCGTCGGGCGATGCGGCGGCCTGTTGCAGCGAAACCTGAGAAGCCGCCGCAGGCCGGCGCTGCATCGGCACGGATGCGCCGCCCGAGGCCGCGCTGCCCGCTTCGGCCATCGAGACGCCTTCCGGCCTGCCACGGGAGACGAACCAACTCGCAAACCCAGCCAGCAATGCCACAGACAACACAACGCCTGCTGTGCGTCGGCGTGGCAGCCCCGGTCGCTTCATTGGTCAGCAGCCTTCAACGCCATCTGCAGTTCGCCCTGGGCCGCACGCGCCACGATCCAGCCTGCAAGGCGCCGCAGGCGAGCTGCGCCCAACCCTTGACGCTCAGCGCACGGCAGTGCGGCGCATCACGGCCCGCCCAACCGTCGCAGCTCCCCAGTGCCAGGCGATAGGCCGTGGCATCCCGCGAACGGGCTGCAATGATGGCCGCCCCCTCCGTGTCGCGCATCAGCAGCCTCGCCACCACCTGCTCGCTATCCGAGCCGGTCGCCAGCCGGGCGGCCAGCGCACGGAGCGCAGCATCCTTGCGGAGATCCTGAGCACGCTGCCAAGCCGGTGGCGGAGCGCCATCGACCGCAGGTTGCCAGTTTTCGACCTCCTGCCGGTTGACAAGCCCCGCACCGCAAACCTCGATGGATTCGCCACGTGCATTCGCATCGCCTGGGGACGGGCCGGCCACGATGGCGCCCGCCGCAGGAGTACCGGCGCCCCGTGCCGCGCTCACGCCTGCCGCAGTCCACCACGTGGCAGCAGAGGCCGCCGTCGACGGGAGCACAGGCGCCGCCGCGGGTTGCCTCGCCTCGCGCCAAGGCTGCCGCTGCGCCACACCCACTGCCGTGGCCAGCAACAGCAAACCGAGGCCCAGCCAGCGCCAGGGGCGTTTGAACGTCATGCGCCGCAGCATAGGCAGGCCACGCGGCCCGGCATCGTGAATAGGACCGTCGACCCGTGCAGTCAATGCGCCGGCAAGAGCCCCAGGGCCATCGCGAGTTCACCCGACGCCGCACGCTCGGTGGAAAACTGCTTCAGGCGCCGCATGGCCGCGCAGTCCATGTCGACGCTCTCCATCGCGCGCATCGTGTAGCGTTCCATGGCCGCCTTCAGCGTTGCCGCATCGTGCGCCTGCTGCTCGCGCGGCACGCCAGTGCGATCGGCCATCCTCTGCGCCACCATCGCGTCGGTCAGGTCGGTGGCATTCGCCAGCACCTGGCGCGACAGCGCGCGGCACTGCGCCAGCCGGGTCGCGTCGCGCAGCCCGTCGCCCCTGCAGGCCCTGCCCGGCGCCCCCAGGTCGAAGCCCATCATCGCGGCATCCATGCCGATGATGAGGACCAGCGCATGCCCCAGTTCCGCGACATCCGGCACCGCTCCCGCGACTGCCACGGCCTCTGCCTCCAGCAGGAAGCTGCTGCGCGACAGCCGGGGACGCGCAACGGCCTCGGCCAGGGCCGCGTCCATGGCGGCCGTGTCGCCGTGCTGTCGTGCGTCCTCCATCACGCGCAGCCAGGGTCGGGCATCCGACGGGTCCAGTTCCGCCCAGCGTTGCGGGTTCAGCCGCGCGCAGTGCGGCGCGCTATCGCTGCGCCCACGGCACGCCGACAAGGCCGCCTGATAGACCCAGGGATCGGTGCTGCGCTCGGCCAGCCATGCCGCGCCGTCGCGGTCGTCCATCATCAACCGGGCTGCCGCCTGCTGGCGCTCGTTGCCCGCAGCCAGGCGTGCCGCCAGCCGTGCCACCGCGGCCTGACCCTTGCGCAGCGCCT